TCTCATCATGGTCATCATCATCATCATCATCATCATCATCACCATCATCATCACCATCATCATCATCATCATCATCATCATCATCATCACCATCATCACTCCCTTCCACCTGACCGTCTGATCCTTCCTCTTCCTCACTACCCTCAGAGTCTACATTCCTGCCATCTGATTCTTCTTCATCTCCCTCCTCTTCATCACTGCGGTCTTCCTCTTCCTCTCCTTGGTGGTCCAGCTCCCCGGTTCCATCCCCTCTGTTGGTGAGCAGGGCGAAGTTTTTCTCCACATCAGAGTCTTCATCATCACCACTGCTGCAGCTCACTTCAGTCCTCTTCTTTGGAACCACTTGGTGTCTCTGCTTACCTCTGCTCTTCATGTCTGATTCCACACTGACGAAAGACGCAGAAAACTCCTGAACATACAAAGAAAGAAGAAAAGAAAGGGCAGCATTTTGCTCTGGTAAATAAACCATTTGGTGTCCATGAAAACCAGGTTCCCAGTTTTTAATTTGAAATTCTGCATTTGTAAGATTGAACTCTTCAGTTTTATTTAATTTTACATTTTGAACTTAACAGATTTAAATTTACTGTAATTGTAGCATATTTGAACAATAATGTTTTTTTGTTTTTTTTTGTACTGTAAGGTTTTTTTCCTTTGCCCCCACTAAAAATAAATTTCTTTGGCTTTGTAAACACAATTTGTCAAAAAGAATAAATACCTAGTACTAGAGATTTTATACTTCAATACAGCCCTGATTTATTTCAGCAGTTTGATAAACATTATGTGTTAAACATTTGGTCTGAGCAACATACGTTTGGATCTGTTTATAATAGAGCTGTCAAATGATTAAAAATTTAATCTGTTAACTCCAAAGTAGCTGTGAATTAATCACGATTAATCATGATTAATCTTAAACTTAATATAAAACTTTATTGCATATTGGTAAAATTAATTAATGTCTTTATTTTGAAAAAATATTTGGTGCTTAAGAAATCCATACAACAATAATAAATCATGAAAATATCACCTCGACTGCACAAAAACAACAAAAATCAGGAGCTAAAAATGCTCCAAACATATTTGAGTCAGTTAAATTTTGTGCAGAATAATGAGGTTAAATCAAGAATTCAAGGATTTTCATTCTAAATGAGTTCTACATGAGGAATGAAAGATACATACTAAGGTCACAGCTGTCAGCAAAACATGAATAAATAAAATAAAATAAGATAAGCCATG